TGTCGGGCTCATATATATATATAGATGCGCCAGGTGTGTGAGCACACAGAAGTACACTGCAATTTCGAGACACACACAAGTGTGTAGGTACTTAAGACCAGGTGGATCCCTTTGCCTCAACATCTTCTGGGGGTCCTTGCTACCAGTAGCATGGTGGGGGTTGGGAGCTTTCAGCGAGTTAGGTCCGCAACTTGAACTTCCTGAGTGTGCGAAACGCTAAACCTTGCCACGCTATGGTCCTTGAAGGGTAAGCCACCATTTCTGGAAGACTCCATTCCAAAATGAGCCGAACCCAACACAATTGAACCATCCTAAATCAGAAATCCTACATGGCTGAGCATGCAGGGTTCGGGGGCCGTAAGCAGCGCACGCCTACAAACCACGGAAGCCTGGAACGGCGCTCATCCCACTATGTTACCCAGCAAAGCCCTATAAAAACCCTTGGTGAAACCTGTCAAATAAAGCCTTCAAAAACCCAGCTAGAGCCCTAAACGCCCTAATTAAACCCTCAACCCCTATACCCCTAAACCCCTATAAGCCCTAAACGCCCCAAACCTAAACCCCTAAACCCCCAAACCCATAAAACCCTTATAAACCCTAAAACCCCCTACTGAGACCACCTGAGGTACAGCGTGACCACGCGCCGCTCGTGCACCTGGAGCCTGGCCGAAACTATGGAGGCAACAGGGTTTCTTTCGGGTTTAGGGTTAGAATAATCAGGGTTTAGGGTTTAAGGCTTAGGGTTTAGGGTTTAGGCTTAGAATCATTAGGATTTAGGGTTTAGGGTTCAGGGTTGGAACATTAATATTTAGGGTTTAGGGTTTAGGGCTAGAATAATTGGGGTTTAGGGTTTAGGGCTAGAGTAATTAGGGTTCAGGGTTTAGGATTAGAGTTATTAGGGTTTAGGGTTTAGGGTTTAAGGTCTATTTATTTTGAGAGCTCCTTTTGGATCTGCACGAAGGTTCGGTCTACGCAAGGTTTAGGGTTAGAAGTTAGAATAATCAGGGCTTAGGGCTTAGGGTTTAGGGTTAATTAATTAGGGTTCTTTTAACGGGGCCATATGTATACGGCTGTTGCAAGGGTTCAAGGGTCCCATGGTGAGGGTTCGGGGGTTTCGTAGAGGGGCCTTGGTAGTATGAGGCGGGTGCCTGCCCGCGGCCGGGAAAAACCCAACCCCTGAACCCTAACCCTACCGGTAAACCCCAAGCCCTAAACCCTAAACCCTAAACCCTAAACCCGAGGATGCTAGCGATGACAAGGTCAACGGATCGGAAGCAATGGTAGAAGACGGCAAATCATAACGAAAAACACTAGTGATACAACCGCCAGGAAAACAGATAACAATTGGACAAGCTGGAACCAAACGGCCAAACCCTCAACCCCAAAACCGTAAATCCCAACTCTGAAAACTCAAAAACAGAGCCCAGTAGCATTCCCATGTCCAGCGTCTCCATGAGACCCGAGTTGATAAGGCGTCGACCCGCTGGCTCCTCGCTAGTTTAAGGTGTTAGGGTTAGGGTTTAGAGTAAACTTGGAGGATCATGGGACTTAGTAAGTAAGGTTATAGGTCCCCTAATTGGGGGGTATAAGTATAGTTACC